TGTTCACCAATCACAACGCACTGGGACAGCTAACCAATCACAACACATTTTGTTTTTCGGAAGGCGGACCTTCATCAAAGCCGGAACTAATCGAGCCGTTTGTGCCAGCCTGGGGAGAAAGGTATTTTAATAATGTAAATTATGTGAAAAATAATGTCAGTGGGGATCTAAGGTTGTAATTGAATTATTAATTATTATTATTAAAATGATTATTTTATATATGTGTAATTTTTCAAATCGTAAAAGATGTTGCGGATGAGTTCAATGACATTCAAAATACAACGTAAGTGGCTGGACTGACCTAACTGATGATAATTATCATGTATGAACACATATATTGTCTGAGTGGTAGTTTTACATTTAGTTTGTATTTATTCTGTATTAAATAGTATTGACTGGGAAGATGAAACGTGGTGTCCGGATTTTGAGACCGAGTCGGTGTCATCTTTAGAAGAATATGACACCAAAGAAGTAGACTCAGACTCTGATGACAGTGATGATGACTACAGTCCACGTATCTGTGTTCGGTAAGTTTAAAGACTAAATGGTTGGTAGACATAAAAGTACTGCTAATTCTGTATTTTTTACATAACACCTCTAATTATTAATGGTCAAGGGGTGCTTCAAAGACAGCCGTTAACTTAGAAGATATTCCAGCAATCAGCATGGAGGACACGGTGCACGATGTCTTACATTCCCACAATCCATCGACCACTGAGATGCCTCCAACCAAAGACTCTCTTAAGGTCTAGGTTGTGGAGGATGCAATTGGCCATTCGGCATCCATAGTGTACCATGATTGTCTGAAGCAGTTGGCCAATTACCTTGTTTTACCAGTCACAAAGTGTAATGCTCACGATATTAACACAAAGTTACTTGCTTGTCAACCTTCTGAAATTAGTGTGACATCCAGGGGCACAGCTGCTATTATTGAATGGGTAAGTATATATTATTCAAAAACCTTTGTTACATGTCTTTAGATTTAGATTGTAGAGAGTTTGTCATATACTGTATGTTATGTAATGTACTGTTGACCCTGTTTTTCTAATCTTTCGTTTACTTCAGATATGTTCTTCAGGCCATACTGTTTGGAAATGGTCTTCACAGCCAACTTTCACACATGGCATGCTAA